TATGGTAAATTATTAACTAAAAAATTTTAATAATAAACTATTAATTGTTAAAATAAAAGATATGGATATAGATATGGGTGATTATATTGATTTGGACAATGAATTACCATCAACAGCAGAGCTTGAAACGAATCAGATTGATACGGACATCATTCTTAAAAGAAATGGGGAATCTAAACGGGATGCCATTAAAAATAGTTTACTTTATTTTTAATTACATTGTGTAAGTGTAATATTTTTTTTTGTAATGATGTAATAATAATAAATGTATAAAATGTAATAATACAAAATTAATGGTAATTTATTGAATTTTGTTACACGATTTAATGCATTTTTTGAAGTTTGAAAATGAGTTACCCTTACCACCAATCTTTTAATAAAAATACATAACAATATAAATAAAGTAACATTTGATAAATAGCCAATGTACGGTTTACACCGTATTAGTAAAACAAAACTTAGAGTATAATTTAAGTGTATAACAGTATATGTATAATAGTATGAAGAATTAAATCACTTCAATAAACTTTTTATAAGGTCCATTTTTTCTTTATGGTGCCTTTCTTTTTCAACCTCTTTCATTTTGAGAAAATCCAATAGTGTGTCTACATCAGTCGTTTTACTTTTAAATTTCTTTTTTTGTGGTTCAGATTGTTCAGAACAGTCTTCTTTACAGTTCATAACAACGCTCCTAGCACTACGCAATACTTCAGGCAAAATGCTGTCATCCTTTTTGGTTATTAAAGCCCATTCGCTTTCATATGTGTCATCTAAACGCGTTGCACCAGTCCTCCTATTATTGTCAATAACAGTTTTTTTTCGTTTGCACACAGTTTTGTAACGATTCTCTACTTGTAAATATGTAAATCTAATGCCAAATTCCTCATCGATGTCAATTGCCAGTTGTTTCCATAAATCAATTTTTTTTTAATTTCTTCATTGGTCCTACATAGCTCATCCACTTAGAATATCTTTCTAGCAGAAACTTTGTAAGACCCTCAGTCCATGAACTGTTATGATTATTCTCGTTTGATAAAGGCTCTACATGATTAGTATTGATTTGGCTATTATTTTGTATTTGCATAATATGATTTTCATCTTTATTCTCATTGACATTTTGCACATTTATGGACTGAACTGAAGTTGAAAATTGTATATTTCTAGAATAATATAAATAGTATTAAATAAAGTATGTTAATATTTGATATCTTTTATTAACTAAAAATATATTTCAACTAGGCATAGTAAAATACATTTGTGTAACTTGGGCAATTTTGGGGGACATTGTTCTTCTCGAGTTTTGATTAGAGGGCTATGCATTGTTAAAGTTTATGATAAAATGTATAAGAAAAAAATATACCTACATAGTTTTAAACAAAGCTTTAATGGTCAGATGAGGCAGAATGTACTTTTTTGTTATGTAAAATAGATAAATAGGATGTGTTAAAAATTAAAATCTTGTATAAAAATAGATCAATATAAATCACAAAATAAATTGAATTTACCTCTTGGGAATTGAAACCGTAATATCAACGTCCTTCGTTTTGAGTTCTTCCACATTGAGTTCGATTACTTTTTGTTCCACACAGTTAGTGAGGAACTCTATTATACTTTGATTACAATCATTAGTACCTAAATGATAATCAAGTATTAGATCTTATAAAATAAAACAGTTTCAAGCTTTTCTTTACAAACTATTTTATACCAATATTAGAGATAAAATAAAAAATCAGAGTTATTACCTATATTCTATCATAATTAATAGTAATTATTAAACAAATAATAAGACCTATAGTAATTTTAAAAATCTTAACAAGAAATTAATCATTTAAGGCTCCCAAGTTTATGCTATTCTACATCTAGTTCAATCAACCAGACTTAAAAAGTCATCAACTAAATAAAAGTAATTGTAACGTCATTTGAGAGAGTAAAACAGCAATTTGCCTTGATGTCGAACTAGCAGTAATTTAAATAAATATAATTTAGTAATTACTGGACAGAAAAATCATGATAAAATAGTTGTGATTATCTTCTTATTTAATCTGTTATTATTTCACTTATATTAAAATATAATATTACATAAATATATACATTTGAAATTGTTGTTAATATACATATTATATTATAGTGTTAAAGGTATGGGGCCTAAAAATTCTTTACAATTTATGCACCACCAAAAATATTGGTTTGCATGTATTGATACTAGTTCCACCTATGATTATTATTATTATATTTTTGCTATCCATTAACAATTTATTATTGTATTAATTTGTGAAAAATAATGTCAGATTTCATGGTGCACTTGGAAGCAGTGGCGTTGTAAGTTATATAGTAGGTATGTTGTTAAGACTTTGAATCAGTTTTTTATTGGTTTGGTTTGCCAAGTTCACGTGCATTTAAAGTGGTCAAATTTTTTTTCAGTTTGGTGGGAACATAATATAAATATTTCAGTTCAACAAAAATTCTAACTACCCCGTTTCCACCATTGACATAGGTACCTAAATTAATTAATTGTACTTTGAGGCTGTTATAAAGTCGTAGTAAACTATAATATGTAATATGCTTACCAGCAGCTTGTTGTATATAATCCAAAGCACCTTCATCCAGGTCGAACAAAAATGTTTGACGGCCCAACAAACAACCTCCAATATCAATTTTTAAATTATATGTTGCCATTTTATAATTAATGAATATAATGGAGAAGGCAGTAGCAGACAGAGTAGAGTCGATACTTACAAACACCACGATTGAAGACACAAAATTGAAAATATCATGACAAAATAGATTTTCATTGTCATGGAAAATATAACAAATAACAATTATAAGTTTATAATAGCGCGGGTTTTTCAATAACATTATCATAATCAGCAGCAGCAGCTGTCACTAGTTTAAAATGATAAACAAATTGTATGTTTCATCTGCACTTGCACCAACCTGCACTAGAACGATTATCAGTGAACTGTACCAGTGCCACTTTGGTGTGACAGTGCGGTCAGGTGGAAAACGCTATCAGTCGACGGCATAATCTACGCTGATTACACGACCGGCAACGCGCGCTTGTTCGTACCGTCCGTACACCGCCTTCGAGTTTTTAACGCGCTACACGACACGCTACGCTCCACGCTACGGCTCATCAAATCTCGATACTGCTGGTCGGACATGCACAAAGACATCACGCGATGGACTCGATGCTGCGAACCATGTCAACGCGCTAAGGTACTTAAACACACAGTTTCACCGATCACGCCTTTCGCGCCCCCGAACGTCGCTTTGGTCACATTCATGTCGATCTCGTCGGACCACTGCCGTCGTCCAACAATTTCAAATACCTACTCACCGTCGTCGACCGATTCACTCGCTGGCCAGAGGCCTGGCCACTCGAGAATATGTCAGCTCACGCAGTCGCACAATCGCTGATCGTGAATTGGATCGCACGATTCGGCGTTCCCGACATCATCACCACCGACCAGGGAAGACAGTTCGAGTCCGATTTGTGCCGTTCTCTCTTTTCGACTTTCGGCATTCAGCACACGAGAACTTCGCCTTATCACGCTCAATCAAATGGTTTGGTCGAACGTTTTCATCGAACGCTTAAGTCCGCGCTCACTGCACACGAATCGACACAGTGGTCAACGAAGCTGCCGATCGTCCTCCTCGCACTGCGCAACACAATCAAGGTCGGTTTCGAGCACACTCCAGCCGAGTTGGTCTACGGCGCGACACTTCGACTTCCTGGTGAAATGTTTCACGCCGCGCCCGCTGAACCTAAACCGCCTGAGCTCGTAGCGACGCTCCGGGACTTCATGGCGCAGCTACGTTTCACGCCCGGTACCAACCACAACACACAACGCGCTACGTTCGTACCGAACGATCTAAGCCAGGTCAGTCACGTTTTTGTCCGAATCGACGCCGTCCAGCCGCCGCTCCAGCCACGATACGAGGGACCGTTTGCAGTTTTGGAACGCCGCGAAAAAAACATTCAAGGTACAGCGCCACCGATCAACGACGTGGATTTCCATCGACCGACTCAAGCCAGCATTCATCGCCCGGGAAGATCCTATCGTCGACCATTCGTACGCCGCGCAATCGATCGAACACCCCTCAAAAAAACGAGTCCGTTTTTTTCCCGCCGAGGGGGAGTAATGTGGTGATTCCGACGCGTTATCACCACTTACGCTAGCGCGCCCTTTTTCGAATTACCATTTTTACATTGTATTCGTCATGTGATTTATTTTGTATTCGTTTTATTTATTATCTCTGTGAATTTTATTATAAAAATGTTGTACCGTCTTTGGTCACGTGACGACTCGCCGCTCGACTTTTTCTCCCGCCTCGCGCGGCGACTTCGCCGTTACGCGCTCGAAGCCGCCGTCGCGCGCTACTCTCGTCACTCGCTTTTTCGCTCTCGAAGTCTCAACTCGAGCAGCCCCACGTCCCGACGACTCGCCTTTTTGTACTTACTTAGTTTACCGTCATACGTCATTTTGTCTTATAATTATTTTGTGTTTAAAATTATACACTGTCGAACGTTCGTCGAAATTGTTGTTTCCGTTATTAACTACCTACCTACTTTTATACCTCCTGATTTTGGTAACAAGCGTAAGTAATATCCGGCGCACCCGAACCACGTTTCGGACCACAACAGTGGTAACGCCATGGTATTACCACAGGTTTAATGATTGTGTAAGACTTGATGTGTGTTGCATAAAGAAATTTTAAATTATTGATAACCGTGGTTACCAAATAAATTAAACCACATTTTATTTGATTAATTTGAATAATGATAACACAAATTAAATAAATATTGATAAATTTGAATAATGATAACAAAAATTTTATACATTATACATATTCATTTATTATGATATAATGACAATTTATTATTATGACTTATGACTTATGAGTACTCTGTCTCCACTGTCTACTACTGGAGTATCTACAACAGTAGTATAGAACCGTTGTTATATAGATATATTTGTAATTAAGTTGTACAACGTACAATGACTTCTATACAAGTGAAGCGTACACGAACAAAAAACTTTTCAGAACAGGAGAAAGAATTGTTAATAACATTAATAACACCTTATAAACATATTATTGAAAACATTAAGGTATGTATTTCACCAATGTTCCTTAATTAATATAACATACTCAATATTGGTGTGTATTAAATATTCCTTTTAGACTGATGGTTTTAATGTAAAACAAAAAAACCAATCCTGGGCAGTTGTCACATCACAATTTAATGATCGAGTAGAAAGTGGGAGTAGAACTGTACAACAGCTAAAAACAGTTTATGACATGATCAAAAGACAAACCAAAAAGAACCTCAGTAATGAAAATGTAAATCTTTATTTTTTACTAACTTAATATCAATATTTAAAATGATTAATGTTATGTAATATGTGATAATGTACAAAATAACAAAACAATTAACTCATGAAGAGCAATGTTTAATTGTGGACTTAGTACAATCGCATCATTCAGAACTTGTAAGTTTTTTTTAAGTAAAATAAAGAATGATAAGTACATAAAACAATATTGTATATTTTATAAAAATATTTATTTGACATAGTTTACTGGTAGATCATATGAACAAGAAGAATCATGGTTAAATATTTGTGAAACTTATAATTTACATCAAACCACAGGTCCTAGAGTAATGGAGGAATTAAAGTTTATTTTTGATCATTTGACTAAAGCCGCTAAGATGGAAAATAGTACGGATAAGGTAAGATTCATTATAACTAGAACTGTTAATTTAAGATATTTTATGTATTGTACCTATATTTGATATAATTGAACTCAAATTTAATACATTCATCACCGTGACCCACTACATTTCTATTTCCTACTGTTCAGCAGATCAGTACTTAGTTGCTCACATTTTATTAGCATTGCATCCATAGTATCTTAAAATGTGGGTAGTAGATTTAGATTATAAGTTTTCAAGGAACTCTGTAAATATTTCTTAAAATGAATAAATTATGTTCTATGAATACAGATTGGAAGATATAAAACTGGTGGAGGAACATATACTAAAAGTATGATAAGTATCAGTGAACAGATTTTGGGAGTTATTTCTGAAAGAACTGAACCGCTTGTAAATAAACATGATGACGACGCTAGTTATATAACTACAGATATTAGAAGTACATGTAAGTTAGGTTAGGTTTACATCATTAATATTACATTAAATGTATTCATTACATTTTATCAAACAATATCATCTATAATATTAGATTTATTCTTTTAGTAGGTATACAATATAATTATATTATATTATAAGCTAAATTTTGTTCAATGAACATTGTTTGTAGTCCATGTAGTCTGTCTTGTACCTACTTATTGCATTTTACTAAGCACCTAATTTTGTTTTGATTGAATACAATTTGGAAAATGTTCAACTAGTAACTGGGATATATTTTTGCACTTATTTCATTGATACCTCTCTTTTATCTCTTTTTAAAGATCTTCAAATGTAAATATGTGTTAAAATTAAATACAAGGCTCCTGATATATTGTTACTATAGCAGTTGAAAAATATAAAAATACATACGACACATTTTTTTATAAGAATTAAAAGTTTGAATTTTGACAAAATAATTATTTTGTAGTTCAAAATAAAATGTTCAATTTTTATATCTAAGGATTTAGGATTTAGGTGTCCCTGTTGGACGCTAGGATTGCTGTTGGGGAGGTCAAAACTCAAGCGTGAATATATTGTAAAACAGTGATGAGAGATCGCTCCCTTGGGGGACTCACTTTATATTCTGATAGGTTGAGATTGATTGCCCGTGTTTTACAGCAAAAAATCGAAGTCCTAGGTATGATTTAAGTATGAGGTAGTATGGAGCAGGTAAAAATGTTTATCTTGAATTCCATAGTTCCCTGTTGAATGCTTTGGACATCTATAGGAAAGCACATCTTTTATGCGGTTGTAGAGTCTGTTATTCCATGCATATAGTGGAATTAGAAAAGGAATTAAGTGCCAGGTTACATGCACAAACTTATATAATAAAATATAAATATACTTTTGCTTATTAAAAAATTATCAATCTAATAAATTATGTGCAATTTTTACTTATGAAAGGCCAAAAGAGTGCTGAATATACACTCATGGATCAACACAACTTAGATAATGTGGATGTGGAAATTGCACATTTTGATGAAAACGATGAGGAACTTGATGTTACTGTTGATAATTTGGGTTATACTGCCAGTACTAGAATTAATTGGGGTAAGAAATAATATTTTTAACCATATTATTTGTATTAAACTAAAATTATCTGTACAATATTTTGTTGTTTACAGCAAATCTCAGTCCTGAAACTCATGACACAACTAATATCTCACCACAATTAATTACAAATAATGCCACTACAAATACAGCTAAAACCAAGTCATATAATTCTCATTCATCAATCACCCCATTAAAAGATACAATCACTGAAAATCGATCATCTCAAAAAAAAATTTGTGACGCTTTATAAGAGTTGACCCAAAATAAAATTAAAAAAGTGCAAGATAAGGGACTTATTTCATCAGAGTTAGATGACATTAAACTAAAAAAGTCCAAATTGGAGCTACAATCAGCAGAGGTAACCTTAGAAATACTACAAACAGAACTTTTAACCAAAAAAATAGAAATGGAATCTAAAAAAAACAAATGCTACTCCGAGAGGAGGAAATATTAAACTTACAAAAACATAAAATGTTGAATAATTGAATATTCCATACTATACTCCGGCCCACGAGAGAGTATTACCGTTTTGCGCATGCAGACTGACGGCGGAGACCGTTCCGAGGCCCCATTTCCCCCACTATTTCCGCGACCGCTATACACCGTATAGCGTTGAGCGCTGCCGACCGGTACCGAACAGTTGTCGGCACATGCCGAGTAGTGGGGAATGCGCGGAATCGGACGAGTTTTCGTCGGGCGACGGTAATACTCTCTCGTGGGCCGGAGTATACTTATATTTAGTAGTTTATTATTAGTATGTGATATTATAATATTTATAATTGTTCAATTTACAAAACAATGAAAAGCGTTAAGAATTGATGTTTATTTCTTGTTATACAATTATTAATTTTGTTTCTGTTATTATACAATTGTTTTTTTTTTTATTTTATGATTATAAAAAGAGCCATGTTTATTTCTTGTTATACAATTATTAATTTTGTTTCTGTTATTATACAATAGTTTTTTTTATTTTATTTTATGATTATAAAACAAGAGTCGTGTTTATTTCTTGTTATACAAATATTAATTTTGTTTCTGTTATTATACAATTGTTTTTTTTATTTTATTTTATGATTATAAAACAAAATTCATGTTTATTTCTTGTTATACAATTATTAATTTTGTTTCTGTTATTATACAATTGTTTTTTTTATTTTATTTTATGATTATAAAACAAAATTCATGTTTATTTCTTGTTATACAATTATTAATTTTGTTTCTGTTATAATACAATTGTTTTTTAAATTTTATTTTATGATTATAAAACAAAAGTCATGTTTATTTCTTGTAAAATAAAGTCGTTTTTATTATTAAATTATTAATTTTGCTCAAAATATTTGTTAATACAATCAATTAAACACAGTTTCAATTAAATGTCTTTGTACTGCATTACCAGCTTGTCGAACAGGCAATACTGGAACTTGATCCAGCATATCAGCAGTAAGTAGTGTTTCGTCTATAACCAGTGGTTCATTTGCTGCAATTAACATATTATGCAACACTGCGGTAGCAATAATTGTGGTAAGAGTAGTCTGTATTTGGGTTCGTATTCCTAGAGATAAAACTGGGAACCGCCTCTTCCACACACCAAATGTTCTCTCTATGACATTATTAGTACCAATTTGAGCTTTCTAAAACAAAATTAAGCAAATGTTTTATTTAAATACCAGCCCTTTTGGCTATTACATTTTTTTTAATTTGTATTACTTATCACTAATTGTATTTATTTTTTGCTAACCTGATATCGTAGTTCTGATTCACTTGTAGGATTTCCAAGCGGTGTCATCATATAATTTCTACAAGCATAACCCCCATCACCTACAAGAACCGAATTTCCAAACTCATTGTTTTCAAACTGTGCTCGTAATAATGAATTGTCGAATATTGTAGAGTCATGAACTGAACCAGGCCACCTATAAAAATGTGCATACAAAAATTTAAAAGATACGAAGGGTATTCATACTATTCAATAACTTTTCAGGTACCAACTAATTTCATAAATCAATTTAGCTACTACTCACCTAGCTACAATATTTATAAATTGCATATGGCTATTACACACTGCTTGTACATTAATAGAAAAGAATCCTTTTCTATTACGGAATTTCTCTCCAATGTCACTATTGGGAGAATGAATTTTTATGTGGGTACAATCAATGGCACCAATAACTTTTGGAAAATTACGTGTTAAAAAGAAATCATGTTGAACTAAGTCGATTTCAGTTTGTGATCTTGGCATTTGTATATATTTAGGTTTTAGAAATTCAATAGCTTCAGAAACTTTTTTAATGACACGGCAAACTGTCGATTTGTTTACATGTATATGATCACCTAAAACTGCCTCAAATGTAAAATGTATCATTACACTGAATTAATTTTAAATAAATATTAAATACTGAACTATGACAAACCTGAAAAGCACCTGTAGCATAATATCTCAGGGCTATCAGAAGCTGTAACATTGGTGACAATGACATATTTCGTAGTGTATTTTGATTTATATTGTGGCTTATCATGTCAAGTAGATTCATGAACATACATTTTGACAAACTAATAAACACAGGAATATAATGTAGGTATATTTAGGTACTATATTTTAATACGAGAGAAACAGTAACATATTATTAAGAAAAGAAAAATTGTCGTTAGGAGCCAATGATAGTTAAACTATGTTAATATATTTGTAGGTACAGTACCTAATTATATATGAAAAGTTGTATTATAGGTACAAAGGTATTCATTTAATAAATAATAAAATATTTTGATATTAGGTACCTGAATCTTTGTTTAAAATCTACATCATCATAATCTGTCAGTGGATTAGACCTGTCTCGAAAAAATCGTGGTCTTGGTAGCAATTGTAAAACATCAATAACAAATAATTCATCATCAATAGATGAAGACGAAGCCGACAAATCCATTGATTATTAATTTTAAAAAGAAACAACGAAATTTTTAATTATTGAGTCTAAACAAATAATTAAATAAACAATTCAGTATCAAAATTGAGAATCACGGCGGAGAACTCGGCGCATGGGTGCAGTCTAGAATCGTGACTGACCATGCTCGAGAACTGTATGGTCCGCTTTGGCGAAAACCAACGTCGCATTCCAGAGACAATGCGGCG